AGTCTATATCTTTAAGAAAATGGTAACGTCATCACCATTTTTTAAAAGAAACTTTTACCAGTAAAACAATTAACTCATGCCCTCTGTGCTCATCATTCCTACTAACTCTTGTAGATACAAATAATCAGTTATGTAATATAAACAACAAGTACAGAAAAAAAAATCCCCCAATCATTTGTTCTACGTTTTTAATGCTCGTTTCCCCTCTACTCAGGTAAACAAACTGAATATCTGTGCTTTAAGGGTTAATTTTCCAAAGGGTGTGTTGGTGTGGAGTTCAGTGTGTGCAGCTGAGTGTTTAACAGGAGATGTGACTTAATTAACAGCAGCTCTTGTTTATTRTTTAGAAAGTGTTTTGTTATTAAAAGCTCCAAAGAGCACACAGGTGACTTTTGATTCCTTTTTTTAGCATTTAGAGCGCTKCTTCTGTGACGATCAGTGCTATCTTTAGAATGTTACCTGTGGGCACCGTGTTGGTGACYCCTGGTCTATAAGCTCACCCCTGTCCCAGGTGATGGAGGGAGGGGTTAAAGGCACATCCAGCTGCATCATGACTGCACAGAACAGTAAACAGGTGTGGTGAGATCAGAACAATGATGTGATTAAATCCAGATTAAATCAACGTTGGACCTGCTCAGATACTTCAGATGACAGTCATGATGAATTATTCTAGTTTTACTGACAGGAACCTGAWGTTAGCCTCACACAGAGGTTTCATAAAGACAGGATTAATAATCAGAACTGAACCATTTCATGTGTTTGACCTCGCTCTGCTCTCATCTTTCAGCCTCCAAGCCCAAATACACATTTGACTTCTCAGAGGAGGAAGAGGAGGAGGAGGCAGATGAAGATGAGGAGGAGAATGGTGACAACGAAGCGGCCTCGTCTCCCGTGAGGTCGGTCAAAAATGACTTCTCAGACACCAAGGAGCAGCTCAGTGACCCAAACGATGAAGAGGAGAACAGTGAGGACTCTCCACAGAAGAAGAGCACGTAAGAAGCAGGTGTTTCTGTTTGGTTCATGTTCAGGTGAGTCGTTAACACTTCTGTTTCTTTAAAGGTCGGCGCCTGCAGCTAAGAAGAAACTGAGCAGCAGCGTGTTCTCCTCCAAGTTCTCTGAGAAGAGCAACGACAGCGGTGAGTGCTCTCTAACTCTAGCTAAATAGAGTTTAGGCTGACACTAAATACTGAGTCAGCATTTAGTGTCAGCCTTACACTGCTTCTTTACAAGAAGCTTCACTGCACTTTAAATACACTGGTTTTAGTGGGGCGGGGGGCTCTGTTCTGAGTTTGGGGGGAGGGATTGTGCTGGCACTTCCTGTTTGTATGGCTCAGGTCTCCACTTCCTGTTTGTATGGCTCAGGTCTCCACTTCCTGTTTGTATGGCTCAGGTCACCACTTCCTGTTTGTATGGCTCAGGTCTCCACTTCCTGTTTGTATGGCTCAGGTCACCACTTCCTGTGAGCGAGTATCTTAACTTGTGAGCCCTCAGACAGCCGTCTCTTTGTCTGAACGGGCTCAGTTACTCATCTAGTTCATTTCTCTCTCCACACTTTGGTAGAGACTAATCTTGGTCTCATCAGTCCATAAGATTGTCTTCCAGAACTTTTGCGACTCATCTTTGTGCTACTTTGTAAATTTCAGTCTGTCCTTCTGATTCTTCTTACTGATGTTTTGTTTTTCTTCAGTTCTCACAATATTTCTGTCATCAGCTGGTGTTGTTTTCTTGTTCGACCTGTTGGACGTGCTGCTCAGTGCACCAGTAGTTTCTATCTTATTCAGGACTCTCCAGATTGTTGTGCTTGCTGCCCAATGTTTGTCCAATGACTCTGATTGATTTTCCTGCTTTTCTCCCACAGACATCTCTCTGGTCTTTATGTTGGTTTAACTCTTTAACAAGACAAAACTACTTTATARGTTTAAACCCAGTCATGCAGAGCTGTTTAATGTCTGAACAATCAACCTGAAAGACAAYRCCTGGTCAATAAGAAACACCTGTCAGTCACATGYTCCTGTTTGAATAATGGGTGGKTTCAAACCAAGGTTRGTCTGTTCTGAGTTGTTTAACTTTTAAATAGCAGGAAATCAAAGCTGACATTCAGAGCTCTTGTCTCATCTTTTCATCTTAAAMCCAAATGTCTTCAGTGAAGAAAACCTCAGCTCATTTTATCAGACTGGTGGCTGATGTTAGTTGTGTTGATGCTGCTCACTTTGACAGGTTGTGTCCTCACATCTACAGAGGAAAACAAAGAGCTCTGTTGTTGTTTTGCAGATGGGTCCAAGTCCGACAGCGACGATGGTGGTCCGGTGTTCTCCACCTACTCCAGCAGCTCAGCGTTTGACAAACTGACCGCAGCAAAGAAAGGTAGTGTGTGTGAGCGGCCTGCAGAGGGCGCACCTGGCTGCTCTTCATGTCTAACGTTTGGTTTTATGCAGCAGCTAAGAAGGCCTCTGATGCAGCTCCCAGACCGAAGAAACCAGCAGCACCTAAAGCAAAGAAACCAGATAAATCCATCTGGGATTCTGAGTCCGACACAGAGTCCAAGAAAACAGCACCAGCCCTCAAAGGTCCGGCACGTTCTTCTTTTAATATCAGCCTCTGTCGAATGGGGTGACGTTTGTAAAGTTACACAGTCAAAAATTACCACCAATATTTTGGTTTTATTTAGCTTTTTATAAGAAAAAAAGAACAATTTATTTTTCAAAATCAGTTTTTCACCAAATGATTCATACATTTATAAATGTCAGTTTATAAACTAAATATTTAACTTAAAAATTTAATA